AATCTGAGACGTAGATTTGTAAGATGGCCAAGCACATGCATTATTCTGTACCCATGAAGATTAACCTACCATTGTGAAAAATGTTTGATGATGATAGCCAATAACAATAAACCATTTCAGCTGTTTGTGAAGCAATTAGTAATGTAATGTCTGAAAAGCTCAATCTATGTTGAAAATGTATCAGCAGTTTACAGCTTATAATGGACTTTTAGCACACAACTATAACATGCCTATTCACATGTTCATAAGAGTGTGCCATTGACTTCTTTGGTCGTGATGTACTGCAAAATGATCTCACTAACCTTTGTTAAACAAGAACAATAAGACTTAACCAACAAATATTGTTACCCATTCATTTAAATCAGAATTTATCACTGTCAATAACATAAAAAACAAACAAAAAAAAACATCAAAATCTGCTTTAAGACGTTCAGTTTTACATTAACTGACCATTACAGCTTGAACAAAATATATAATTGATTCACATAGGCTAACACATATGAATTAAAGTGCATAGTAATATATTTCTCTTGGATAATTTAAAGAGAATAGTAAACAGTCGAGTTTCGATCACTTTTCGTGACTAACTGCATAAACAAGATAAACAATAATATTTTATTAATCCAAAACGATTAGTTTTTATTTACACAATCACAGAATTAATACTGTTGGATAAGTAAACGCCTGTACAATGATTTTTTCAACATCCACGGTACTTTATAATGTTAAATCAGGAAAAAAACACGTTTTGCCATGTTAGTTAATGGATTCGTCTACAGAAACTTTCTTTAACGCAAAGTTAGCATACACACAAATTCATTTCATGTTTCTTTAAAATAATTAAAATAGTTTTCAGTTACTACACACGTTACAATCTAACATTGTGTAAAAGGAAAGGGAACTTTCAGACGTGTTTGTAACTGTTAGCGTTAGCATACATTAGCTCCAGTCGTGTTTCTTAAAGCAAGTTACATTTCGTATCAAACTGTTTTAAATTACTAAACGCTGTTACAACCAAACACCGTGGAAATGTTTTAAGCTCTAAATTCGCTAATTATACAGTACACAAGCAGTAAAAAGCTTACCTTTCTGACCGGAATCTACGTGAAGTCTTTAAAAAAACCAAACTTTTTCTTCTTGTGATCTTCGTGCCATGGTGGTTGACAACCAGCTTTTTGGAGCATTACCGCCACCGTCTGGATTGGAGTGTGGATCATGAGTTTAGTCACACATGTGTTTATTATGAAACCAACTTCTGCTTTAAAACAAAAACAGTCAGCACAGGAGCGTGCTATCTCAAAAATAAGCGAATTTTACATAGTTTTTCTCTAGATGACATGTATAATCTATTTATAAATAATATTGTTTTGTTTGCGTCTAAACATTGCGACCATCCACACTAAATATTCTTTTTTTTTTTTTTTTTGCTATCGTACCATGAATATTTTCTCAAATTATCATTAAACGTGGAGCTAACAGATTACTAGATAAAATAAGAACTTAATCGGTTGCCATCAGCCTTAATCGGTTGCCATATGGTTGACCGGAATCGGGCCAGTGCTTTACAGCCGCATCACAACCGCATGTGCGCGAGCGAGCTGCGGGCCGCACTCGGCCCGGATAACACTCGCCGATGCCGAGTCGGAGCCGGAGGCGCCGGAGGGCAGCCGAGCTCGGGCCGATTACTGCCTGCTATCTGGGATGATTGTGGCCGAATTGATACTACTCTGATGGAAGTAAAGATTGAAGGGAGGGATCCACCCTCACTCAGGCAGTATAAATACCCAGATGAAGCAAATCCATATATACAGCGAACTGTGGATTCTCTATTAGAACAGGGTGTTATCAGACCATGCCTTTCTCCATCATTAGCCCCAATTTGGCCTGTCCGCAAACCAGATGATTCATGGAGATTGTGCATAGACTACAGAGAACTTAACAAATGTACACAGACGTGTGCACCTGTAGTAGCTTCCACTCCAGACGTGTTAGCATCTCTCCTACCTGAAGCAAGCTATTATTCAGCTCTTGATGTGTCTAATGGTTTTTGGTCAATTCCATTACATCCAGAATGCCAGTATAAGTTTGCTTTTAAGTTCAGAAACACGCAGTTCACATGGAATGTTCTGCCACAAGGTTTTGTGAACTCACCTACTCTGTTTCATCAGAGTTTAGCTAAAATACTAGAGCGACTCTCTAAGCCTGAATGTCTGATTCAGTATGTAGATGATTTGCTGTTACAAACAGCTACCAGGGAAGAACATCTCACTCTACTTGAAGAATTACTTCAATTGCTGAAAGAAGCTGGACTAAAACTGAATCCAAAAAAAGCTCAGTTACTCCAGTCAGAAGTCACCTATCTAGGAATCAAAATAAGTGAAGGTGGGCGTACACCTGATCCACATAAAGTGGAAATTATTCAGAGACTCCCAGTTCCAGTTTCAGTAACAGCTTTGAGGTCATTTTTAGGTTTAGTGGGCTTTTGTAGAGAATTCATTGAAGGCTGATATTGCAAAACCATTGAACACTCTTCTTTCTGGAAAAAAGAAGAAAAAGACAGATTCTTTAGAATGGGGTCCTGATCATCAGACAGCCTTTAAAAAATTGAAGGTAGCATTGATAGAAGCTCCAGCATTACGCAATCCAGATAGAACACAACCATTTATGTTACAGACAGCTGCAACAGAGGAGGCTCTTTCAGGTGTCCTCCTTCAAGAAGTACAGGGAAATTTGCGCCCCATTGCTTATGCTTCTCGAGTACTCTCCCCAGTTGAAAAATCTTTTGACTCTTGTACAAGACACCTTTTGTCAGTCCACTGGGCAATGTCACATTTTGAATACATTTATGGTTTCAATGAAGTTACATTGTATACTCCGCACACACCCCTACAGCTCCTTTTAAATGGTAAGGTAAAGGGAGTATCCAGTGCAAGACTAGGCAGGTGGACACTAGACTTAGGGTCTAAAAATTTGAAAACTGTATACAAGCCTAATTCAATGCTTCCTAGAACACTTCTGTATGAAGGTATCCCACACACATGTCAAGACGAGCACATTCGCCCCCTTGAAAGTGTCTTTGAGGTAAAAGCAAATGTAGGAGCTGTGGATGTGTATGTTGATGGTTCTAGATATTGGCAAGATGGGCAGTATCATACAGGTTTTGCAATCCATTCTGAAAAAGGGAACTTTTTGTATAAATGCCCACCCCATTTTTCAGCTCAGAAAGCAGAAGTGACAGCAGTGTTACAGACACTAGCGGTAATTCCAAATTCAGATTTGAATATCTATTCAGATTCTGCATTTGTAGTTAATTCTCTTACAGAATATCTACCCATTTGGCAGAAGAGAGGTTTTACTAGTGCTGATGGCCAGCCTCTGATTCACTGTGGACCAATCAAAGCTTTGTGGTTAGCTGCAAAGAATAACACTAATAAGATTGCACTGTTGAAAGTTAAAGCACATCAGAAGAAAGGGACAGACAAACATGGCGATGGAAATTTAATTGTTGATGAGTTAGCAAAGAAAGCTGCTGTAGAAGGGGTAAAATTTTCTGGTACCGCAGAACAAGAATCAATTGCCACCATAAACATTAAAGAGCCAGTAGACCTGAAAAGTGCTCAACAGATTGACCCTCAAATCACAGAAGCAATCAGATTGAAAAAAAGTGAACAAAAGATTACTGATGGTCCATTTGCGCAACATGATACACAGCTAATTGTACATGATGACATCTTAACGTACAGAAATGGTGAAACTGTAGTGTGGGTTCCACCTGCTAAATTGCGAAATGATATTTTGTATCATATCCACAATCAGGGGGGACATTTAGGTGTAACCAAAGTAAAAGACAGAATAGTCAATTTGTTCTGGTGGCCAAGCATGGATAAAGATGTAAAAAGTTACTGTGCAAATTGTTTAATGTGCGCCCAAATGAACCCATCAGGGTTTAAAAAGAAAGGCTCATTAAGACCTACGTGCCTTGCTGAAGGGCCCTGGACAAACCTTCAGATTGACTATATTGGCCCTCTACCTACAGCAAAAGGTGGATACTGATATATATTAGTGGTAGCTGACACATTTAGTAAGTGGATTGAGGCATTTCCGATTAAATCTGATACAGATTCTGCCACAGCACGAATACTTTGGGAACAAATTTTCTGTAGATTTGGCCTTCCTCTGAGTTTGGAAAGTGATAGAGGCACTCATTTCACAGGAAAAATTCATACAGATCTTGCACAAATGCTGGGAATAAAACATCGACTTCACATAGCACAACACCCACAATCTTCACGAGGGGTAGAAAGATTAAACAGAACTTTGAAGACAGCCTTGAAAAAAATGGTGTTGGAAAATGGCCCCAATTGGGCTCAAAACCTTCCATGTATATTAATGTCAGTCAGGGGAACAGTTCATAAAAGCACAGGTTACAGCCCCTATGAATTAATGACAGGAAGGAAAATGAGACTACCGGAACACTTTTTCTTTGAACTCCCCAAACCTATGATTGAAGGGTGGACAACTGAAACCTATTTAAATAATCTGTGTAGTTCTCTACCTGCCATACACCACCACGCTGCTCAACAAATAGGACTCAGTCAAAAATACAACAAGATGTATTATGACCAAAGCGTGCATATGCATAAATTTGAGCTTGGTGATGAGGTCATGGTAAAGAACTACCAACATGAGGGTCCATGGACCTCTAATTGGTTGGGACCATACACAGTAATTGATAAATGTGGAGATGCAGTCTACAAGCTCTGCCATAGGACAAACAATAGAAAACGCATGAAGAAATGGTTCCACATTGATCAAATGAAACCCTACAAACATTCAGAAGACAATCCTATAGAGCCTGTATAGGAAATAACAGCGTATGCATAACTTGTATCTTTATTGTTTGTTTTTTTCTACTTGTTTTCATGTATATATGATTTGATGTGTTATGCGGGGTGGGGGGGGGTAAATAATTTTTTTGTATTTCTGCATATGCGTGGCAGGATTCTTAAACCAGAAGCGATGTGGTGATGGATCCTCACAGTGGTTCTACCAATGACAGTGATGATGCAAGAATGCCCAGAAATGCAACCAGCACCTCCCTCTGGCAGAGTAACTTAACCATATAAAGGAGTACTGGTCAACAATATTCAATGGATCCATGTTCCAGTCCTATTAAAGCTGACAGCATGGTCCCCAGATCTGGATGAGCGATGCCAAAGAGAAAGAATGAAAGAAATGTACAAAGATCTTTTGACAACAGCGTTCCTGATATGCCAAGGAGCTGTAGCTACCAGCTCAACCACAAGACAACTGTCAAGAGAACCCCAAACTAATTACTTAGAGAAAATATCATCTGGACAAAAACTGTTAGGATTGGTTGACAACATACTAGGAGCCACTGGAACAGGTTTAGGCATATCAAACTGGATCAGCACTAAAGAACTTTAACAAAAAAGAACTCAAACTTAAAACTCTTGCTGAGAAACTGGCTTTGCAAACAGATGCATATCTACAAGAGGGACTAAAGGAAAAAGAAACGGTGCAAGCTATCTACAAGATTGCATCTGCCCTCTCCATTATTGTAAAAAAAAAAAAATAAATAAATTATTCTGTGAGCAGAATGCTTTGGAAAAACAACCATTGTGTGGAACACCTTAGGCAAACTATGAATCGTGTGAAATCAACCAAGTCCATGATAATTTCCTTAGAGTAATAGTTTCTGACAAGAAAACATGTATTACAACAACCGTGGATCAATTCTCTGTCTTTATACACAATAACCAGACCTTTTGTCCAATTAATAATACTTCATTTTTATACAGGACAAGATTTTGATTAGACGAATGTATGGTGGAGATTTGGTTATTGCATACTCTAGTTTAGTTTAGAATGTAACTTTTAAAATTGCTTTATGTACGTTTGTGTCTTTCTAATTATGTGTCAATGCATTTTGTTATTCTGTATGTGTGTTATGGTAGAAAGCGCCAAATCACAGATAATTCAGTGATCAATGTTGGACGATCCCTTTGGTGGTGATGATGATTCTTGATGACAGCTTCCAAACCCTAGATCTCAATTTAACAAACAAGTGTGTTTAAACAAAAACGGTGATAATTTAGCTCAAAATGAAATAGAGCTCAATCCAGTGTGCATGAGGCGTCGACCCAAAGACGGGTAAGATTTTCCAAGGCCAGTGGGGAACAACCTAAGGCAGGGCGTCGCCGCCACTGGCACCTGCCAAGAAAGTTTGGTGTAATTTGTGTGAAAGAGTAGATTTGATGCTTCTTTTCTAGGCCAAAGAGCATCAGAGGGGACTGTAAGAAACTAAGTCTGCCTCGACCCAACTTCTACTTTATTTCACAAGTCTTCCATGCTCCTTTCTTAACAAAGAGCTTAATTATCACAGAGAGGAGAGTTCCTCAAGTAAATCATTTAAGCATTTAAATAATGTCTTTGGAATGATAATTTACTTCTTATAGCATGGGAGCGGCAGCGAGCCATCAAGAACCATCTGCTGACCAAAAGGAATTTTGATTAAACTCATTTATCATAACAGTTGGTATTCTCACCTGAAAGTCTACTCAAGGTCTGGGAACGGAAGAGTATCACTTTTATTGTTGTTCTCAATTTACATTCAAAGCAAAAGCTTATTAACATGTTAAGCGGGTATACCGAAAGGTCTGGGATTGCTATTTTTAATTTACATTTGAAGTGAAAGCTTATTAACATGTTAAGCGGGAAGAAACAGTATAAGATGTTTAAACCGAGGATGATCGGGATTCAGTTCCAACTCCGATGAATCCGAAGTGTTGTCTCCACTTTGACACTACTTTTCTGGAATAAAACTTATTTTTTTCTTCAAGACGTTCTCATCTATTTTCTTACACTAGGCTAAGCATCCTCTTATACTGTTCAAGTTTGGACTTTCCGAAAAGCTTACTCGCTGTACAATTCGATTGTTGACATTTTATTTTAATATGAGTGCAACATATTAATGTAAAACTTAAACTCTGATCTTGCTACCCTGCTCAAACTTTATGTTGATAGCATCGCTGAACGATTTGTTTGTTCGGATCAAAAGAGTCGATTCATTTGAAGCCCCATTCAACTGAATCTTCCTCCCGCTAAGCTAGTCCGCTATATAATGTTCCAGAAGGTACGCGAGCCTTGAAATCTGAATCATAACTCGCAACATTATAACGGCGGGAAAGGCGCGGGAATAATAACCTTGAGCTAATTTACTACAGTAACAATGGTGTAGATATGCTTTAATCTACATTATAATTTGTCACAGATTATTAATGTGGATATGCGTGCAAGTTAATCTACATTATTATTATAATTTGCTACATGTTTATTTGTGGAGAATAAACAAAGCATTAAATATGTAATTTTTACATAGCATTCCCCCTACAAACATAATACTTCATATTTTAAAATTTAGTGAATATTATAAAATCATTGCATGCTATTGACCTTATTCTCCGCAGACGAGCGGGCGCTGCCATTTTAATCTTTTTGGCACGAGACTTCCGGTCTCATTCACTTCCATTCATTTTTAAACATTAAAAACTGCTCGTTTCGCTGTTTGATGTTGCAAACTGATATTTCCTTGTTATATTATTCTACTTGGTCTGTATAGTCATGCAAACATTTGTTTGTAGAGCAAGTAGTTTGACCATTTTTTGCCATTTATTATTCCTTGTCAGTTCTCCCATAGGCGACTGAATCGGAGGTTCTAAGACAATCGCGAAAACAGGCGCACTTTCGCATTTTAGAATAGGGTCAATAGTGACCTCAATATCACCCAAAATAAATATGTGTGATTTTTTTAATACTTCTTATGTTTTGTTCTGAAAAAAAGACCTTGGTCAAACTGACCCTAAAGGACACAGATGTTACAAAATGTGTACAGGGCATTGAGAAAATAATTTCATGTTTACCAAGTTTTCCCCATTAAATTAGGAAAAGTGATTCAATTTGGAGCAAACAAACAATTTCAACAATATTTGTACAAACTTTAACACTAACTGGGGCCAAGTTGACCCCAAAGACAATAGGAAGGTTCACATGCGGCTTATTTAAAAAACAAAGTATCTACAGAGAAAAATGTCTATATGGAAAGAAAATGTTTTGCGTTTTAATGCTATATAGGGCCATGCCTGGAATTGCTTAGGGCCTCCAAATCACTAAGTCCACCTCTGTCTCCCAATTATTCTACTCAGTGCTGCTGAACTGTTTGCGTTCTTTAAGACTTTCTATTGTATGAATTACGACTGCATGAAATGATGTAAAATGGAAGTGCGTTCGGTGCGTTTGGTAATGCAGCTCGATTGGTTTAAAATTATTAAAACGGTACTTTAATCAAGATTGTGAATGAGCCTGGCTTGCCAAAAACATGTTTTAAAGCTCATGGTCATATCGCTATTGTATCCATTCCAAATAAGGGCAGTTTTCAAACACAACACAAGTTCTTTACTGGGCAAAATCATTTATTTTGGGCCACAATAACCAAGCAAAATTCAAACACTCAATTCACTTAAATTCTGTCACGTTAGTAAGATCAAACGGGAACAAAAAAGGTGCGGATCCAAGTGCAGTTTATTTACAATGTGCATCAAACAGAAAAACAAGGTGTCCAAAGTGCAAAGTACAAATAAACAACAAAACAAGAAACACAAAACAGAGACAGGGCTCAGGAATGAAAACTCGAAATACTAGACTTGACTGGAAGTCTAAATACTGAAATACTAGACTGGAATACGGAGACAAGAAAGACAAACAACCCCAGGAAACAGTCCAGGAAATTAAAAGGAAACAGGAACAGCTGATGGCCAATCAGTGTACGTGGACTATATATATATATATATATATATATATATATATATATATATATATATATATATATATATATATTATATATGACGTGGACCGGGTGTAATGCGCGTGGTATGTATGGACTTGTAGTCTTTTGGGCGCTGTAGCTAAATCTCAGAGTCCGTGAACAACAGCGCCCTCAGGTGGTCACTGACAGTCATGAAAAATTCTAGTTTCACTTTTATTACATACAATAATCTCGTACATTAAAATTCCACAGAAGGGAAGCAGCAGGTAGGGAAAAAAATGTTCATAATGTGCATTGTACATAAAAGAATATTAGCAGACTGCATTAGCATGAATGGTTAAGGCAACTAAAATGACAACCACAAAGCTCTTCTGATTAGCGCACTGCTCTAGAGCAACAGCCGTGAAAATGTAAAGTGCTGAGAACGAAATTGAGAAAATGAAAACAACACTGACAGATTTTGTTTTAGAAACCACCTAAAGTTACCAATAATGGCACATCTAATTAGTGATAGGCGATCAGAATAGTGATCAGGTATTGTAACAGTGTTTGCCACTAAATCTATACATTTTAAGCACGAGCGGTTCTATTTAATCCTTTATTTAATCGCCAGGATGCTGTTAGCTGTGCAAGTGCCAGCTATATGTAAAATTTCACCACAACGTACACATATTGCAGCTCATAAAAAGACCATTATTACTATTAAGATGATGTGTCCAAATGATAAGTTATATATCAATATCAACTGCGACACCACCTGTTAACTCAGTTGTGTCAAGTGTTGCGTGCAGGGCCAGTGGGCACATGCCAATTTTGTTTGTTTGTTTTTTGTTAGTTTTGATTAGTGTTGATTTCAAATGCAATAAATCTGTTAAAACTTGTAACGGTGCACATAATTCTTAGTAAGGGCGACTAAATTTTGGCTGGTGTGACAACATTTTTTAAAGTAAAAAATTTAGTCAATTCTGAGATATTCACTATCAGTAATTATTTTCGACCTTTAGAGTGCAGTAATACCTATGAGAATAAGTACATTGTATATAACAGTTTAAGAATGGTGGGGGAAACACAACAGGAAATAGGAAGTGTTTGTAAAGTTGATTTTAAAACTAAAAGTAGAAATCTGCAGCCATGGTTCTACTTCGCAGGAGAACTCCAGGAACTTTATCTACAGTTTCTGTCTCAGCCCTATAACCTAATGGTCTTACTTTTTTAATTTTACCTTCTTTGATTTTATTACTGAGTTCTTCTATTTTCTGTTTGTAGCTAGTATAAAACCATTTGTAGTTCATCATCATCACTAGATTTCCAATGATATACAATCCTAGTATTGTTGGGATAATTACAGTAGGGTTTAAAGAGGTCCAGGAGCCTGCATACTCAGTCACCTTCCAGCTCCAGAAGCCCAAAAGCATCATCATGTCTAACAGCAAGAAGATACAATAAACAGCATGGTTTAAATTTGTATTACTTTCTGAGATATTAAACCAGCTGAAATACCAGATGAGTCCAACTGTAGCTTTGAAAAGCCATTGCCAGCCGCTGCTTTCCATGAAATCTGTTTTCTGTCTCCAGGCCACAAACACCAGCACCATCCACAAAGATAGAAAATGAGCAACGATGTGGCACGGGAATACACTGCAGAAGAGTGCCAGAACAGCCACACGGGTAATGATCAATAGAATGTTCCACAGCAAATAGATAGCAGAGGCGGTCCAGCATTTTACATCAAAATTAGCACGGATGCCGTTGTGGTACATGGCAAGGGTAAAGGCAATTGAAGCAGCTGATGCGAGGAATTTTAATCCTGAAATAGTAAAATTGTGCTTGTTAGTAAACAATACTACATGAGCAACAATGAAAGAAAATGCAATTACAGTTGATTTTAGTAAACACATCAGACACTCTTGTTTACAATCACTAATCACTGATTTATAAATGATCCGGTCAGAGTATGTCTCTGCCTAATAACTCATCGTTTCAAAAGATTCGATCTGGGGTGCATTTCCAAAAAAAAAAACATTAGCACCGTTTCCACTATCGTGCCTAAAGCGAGCGAGCCAAGGCCAGTCGCGTTTCCACTGTCATTTCCGGGGCGTAATAAGGCCAAATCGGGGCTTTCTTGGGGCCAGCGGCCGGCCTTTTTCAGCACGCAAAATACCTTGGGCCAAAGAGGGCCAGCTTGGGCTTCAGGGCGGAGTGAAAGGAGAGGCGGGCACAGTTTTCCGATTGCACACAAGTACATGCGCCAAACACATAAACAAATAAATAATTAAAGGAAAGAAAACATCTGGAACAAATTATAGGCTGGGGTCTTTTTGCGTATGATCACCCTTATGTTTCTCTTTTAAACATAAGGCTGTTGCATAAAATAATAAAGTAGTTTTAATTTATAAGTGACTTTTCTTTGCTGCATCCTCCTTGATGTTTCAATAATGCATAATAATCTTGACACCATATTAAAGACACAGCAGCCAGTTAAGGTTTTCGAGAGTTTTTGTCAAGTTTAAAAGGTGTGTTTGTGCGCATTTAGATGCCTGTAAGTGTGTGTGAGACCGAGGAAAAGAGCGCTCCCTTCATAGCTCTGTTGATGCCGCGAGCGGCTTTTTTCTTTTCTTTTTTATTGTTTTTTTTTTTTATTTTGCAGATAATACACTATATAAATACAACAGAAAGACATTAAACTTTACAAATTTCGTGTCCACTTTTGTAGGCTCAAAACAATAGTGTCATATCTAGATAAAATAGCCTAAGCTATATTGAAATAATTTAAAGAATTACAAATATCAGATATAATAAAATCACATTAAATAAATAAACCAATATAAAACTAACAAAAGCTAGCTATAACAATTAGGTACTATATCAAACTGTTTTAAAGCCATATTAAACTTTTCTTTTTCAAAAGCCTCTCTAAAAAAAGATTTTAGATATTTTCCAAAAACAATAAACACCGGAGAATGTTTTAAATATTATTTATAAAGTATTTGGATACGATGATATTAATCAAATCATGAAAACAGAGCATTTTCGGGGTGAGTGAAAGCAGAAACTAGGCGACCTTTTTTCTGTCTTCCAGCTGCGCCGCACTTTACAGACACATCAGGGAAAACAAGTTCAAAATGTGTTCTGTGTCCTCAAACAAGTGTGTATGTTTTTATATGACGTGGTAAAATTAAAAAAAAAAAATTTTAATTACATAAAGAGCTTTATTAGTGCATAGCTGCTGAGCGCAACGAAATATAGGCTATATTTTATTATGTGCTAAAACACTTAACACTTTCCTTTACTTAAGATATATGTAACAGAAATTAGCTAATTTTATGAATATTAATAATCAACAATAACGGTTTATTCTTAATTATTAATATTGCGGCTTAAGCTTTAGTCAATTTGGTCAAACAAACATATGATTGTATATTATCCTGTCCGGGTGACTGAGCGGACTCTCAGATTATGAATATTAATTATCAACAATAACGAATTATTATTAATCATCAACATTCTGGATTAATTTATTGTTAATTTGACCAAACAAACATAATCAGAGCTGCCGTTCTTCTGAGCAGACACGGTAATGAACTTTTCATTTAGAAAAGGGAATTATTACTACTTCTTGAGATATAGATTAATCATTCATAAGTTTTAATCAACTTATAACAGCTAGGCAGGGGAATCTGTCTGTGAGGCAAACAATACAATTCATTTGATTATAATGGGATTTATTGACTAGTCAGACAGAAAACGAACAAACGCACGAACATACATCAAACAAAGAGCAAAGGTAAACCACGTGGAGATAGGCTATATAGATCTATAGAACATGTAACAAACAGAGAGAAATAGCAAAGCACGGAAATAGAGATTTCAGATAAAGAGTGACAAAATCAGTTTCAGTTCCACACACACCATTAACACACACAGTTCCACAAACACTAGCTTTTAAGCGTGAGCTCTGTTGCACTGCCCTCTCAACATGCTCGACCAATGATTTCAGGGCAAAGTTTGAGCGAGAAACTTCCTTTGTCTCTGCAAATTTTAGTGTCCGCCTGCAGCCTGAGGATGGTCTTTCTTTCAGGGCATTAAAGAATGCATGCCAGTTATTATCATGCTCTATGCATCATGTGTTGTAAAATGTCAAAGACATTCCAACGACACCAAGCATGGGGGGTCTTAAAAATACATCAACGTAATTCCCACACCCTTACATTATTTATGCTCTAAAAAGGCCTAAAGGAACCAGGCATACGGGTTATAGGAGGGGTTGTACAGGTAAGAAAGGTCAGAAATGAGATACAAAGTTTACAAACATAACATTTTAGTTTTGTGCTGGTCCCTGATTTCTCAGTCCAATTTCTTTTTGGACTAATGTCCTTGTTTGTGTAGGGATGTGTGTGTGTGTGTGTGTGTGTGTGTGTGTGTGTGTTTGTAAGGAGGGGGGGGGGGAGATCGGAATGTCTTTGAAGTCTCTAGATCCATCTCTCTGGATAACGAAAGGTGTCACGGAGGCCAGACTTCGTGGAGCCAGTGGTCGTAAACCATCCTGTCGACTGAAACCCAGATCCTTTCCTTAAAATTAATAAATAGTTGTACCTATGGACTGTACATAACATATAATAAGCAACATCTTAAAATAAAGGGAATCACCTATTAAGTGTCATAAAGCCTGAAGGGAAAAGTTCATGTTTCAGTTCTCTCCTGAGCATTTGGGATGAATGTTGGACAGCGTTTGTCTAACTAAGGATGTTATAAAATACATTTTCGAGTTATTAGCGGAGAATTTTATATATGTGGTTTTATATTATGGATGTGTGCGCTCCCTGCGCTGGGTCCCTTCGTTAGTGGCGAGACCACTGGATTTCGATGCCAACAGTTGGTCGGCGAGTAAACGAATATGATGAATGAGAACACAGGTATGTGTGTATAGACATACATTGTACTGCTGTACAGTAACGTGTGATCTGTTTGTTTTGGTTGTCCTGATTTTTTTTAGTTTCGTGATGATGTGGTGTGCTTTATCTGCCTGATTCCTGCTGAAGTGGGCGGATTTAGTGACGTGGGATTCGGGGGATGTTCTGGGTTTACGTGACGCGCTGCGAGCTACTAGCCCGACAGTGGAAACGCGACAAGATTTCAGCCTCACTGCTCAACCTCCCAGGCGATTGGCCCAGCCTGGCCCGATAAAAGCCCTGGCTCGCACTGGCCCGATAGTGGAAATGCGGCTATTGGTAGCCAAGTATGTTCGCAGGTTTCATTGCACACTGTTAAAGGGATATTTCACCAAAAAACAAAAAGAATTCAAGATTCCAAAGCATTCTTCAGTATATCATCTATACATAATTTTTTTGGCTAGTTCACCAAAAAAAAAAAGTTTAATTTCTGGGTGAATTATTCATTTAATAACAAAAGAGCTTGTAACCATCGCTGCTTTTGGGAAACGCACAATGGAGCATGTCTTAGTGTTCAATAGTGTAAATAATTATGAGACTCAATTCACATTTTAAAGTGCCCCTAACATGGATTTTTGAAAATGACCTTTTTATGCAGTGTGCAACACTTGTGACTTTGCATATATGTCAACCTGTTGTTAGAGACTCCCAAAACCAAAATATAAATCTTTTTCAAAGCCCTGCTCACACTGTGGGATTTCAGCCAAGATTTCATTGTCTTGTGAAAATTTGGGAAATCTTAAAAGATTCCTGAAATCCTAAACTAAAATCTGTGATCTTTGATAGTTGGTATGATATCTTCAAAAAGGTAATGATTCACGCGCATCAAGTAATTGCTTTGTACTGTTTTTATTTTTACATTCTTAGGGTGATTTAAAGACATAAACGTTTCAGCACAATGATATCTTTGATATCTTCACCAACAGCTGCTTAATGAGCAATGTTATCAGATTTTCACTCCGATATAGTTCTGGTAGTTCCCCTTCGGATGGGCAACTCCAATGTTATGTGGAAAAACCATCCACAATTATGGGGTTTTCGTCAGAAACCAATCATCTGAAAGAGAATAAAATCGGGCCAATGAAATGCCAAATGAATTGGAAGCGTCAATCTTTCAGAGGCTCCTGGGGCATATGGCATCCGTGGCCGCGACCTCGCTGCTCGAATTGCTCCATATGAGACCACCACGGCATTGGCTTCACGATCGGGTCCCCAGACGCGCATGGCACGCGGGCACACACCGAGTGACTCCACTGCGCTGTGTCAACGCGCCCCCACCCCCTGGAGGAACTCCTCTTCCTACGGGCCAGAGTGCCCCCGGGAGAATGGCGACACCCCGAGTCTGTTCAGCTGTCATGGGCACTGCCCCACAGCTGGCCTCGGGGCACGCGCAAACTTGCATTTTCCCCAATGAGCCTGCTCGCGCAGTTACTGTGCAAACCCAGGGAGGACGAGGAGCAGGTCTTGTTAGTTGCGCCCCCCCCCCCCCCCTGGAGGGTCCCTTTGAGAGAGCACCTACTCTCTCAGGGACAGGGCACCATCGGGCACCCTCGCCCAAATCTGTGGAACCTCCACGTGTGGTCCATAGACGTGAGGAAGACTTAGGTAACCTACCGATGGCGGTGTTTAATACCGTCACTCAGGCTAGAGGACCCTCTACGAGGCATGCCTACGCCCTGAAATGGAGTCTATAGACTGAGTGGTGCGCTTCTCGCGGAGAAGACCCCCAACCGTGCCAGATCAGTGTTGTCCTTTCTTTCTTTCAGGACAGCCTGGAGCGAAGGCTGTCGCCCTCCACACTGAAGGTCTACGTGGCCGCTATTTCCGCTTATCATGATGCGTAGACGGAGGCACCGTGGGGAGGCATAACCTCATCATCCGGTTCCTCAGAGCGGCAAGGCGTATGGTTCCTCCCTTTCAGATGATTGGTTTCTGACGAAAACCCCTTAATTGTGGAAGGTTTTTCCACATAGCATTTCTGTTCACCACCTAGGGGAACGAGGGTTACTTAAGTAACCGTAGTGTTTTAAATGATTTCACACACTTTCCTGCAAAGTGACAACAGCTGCACTGTAAAAAATAATCCATAATTTTACATTTTTTTCAGCAGCTAAATTACAGAAATTTACCAGCAATTTAAATTTTAATGTTCGTTATTCTATGATAAATTGCTGTAATTAAACAGCTATTATTTTTTACTTGTTTTTTTCCTGGCACTCCAGCTGTGTGCGACGAGCAGCAATCCAAGAACCTTTAGGAACCCTGAATCTGATGGTGCAGTCCGCGCAACAACTTCAATCCAAAATGGGGAAATGTCAAACTGTTTTTTTGTTTTGTTTTGTTTTGTTTTTTTTTTTTACCTGGTTTTATTATTGAGGCACACTGTGAGCTAATTTACAGCTACATATTGTTTATGCTGTGATGTATCATTTCAGAACACAGGATAGTGAAAGTGTCATAGATGGATGACGTCAATATCTGGGTGAGTTTTCTTCAGTGTTTGGCGTGGTTTTATTGTCATCATTCAAACATTATGACATCTGAGATCTTACAGTGTGACATAGGAGCCATATTCATGCAGTCTGACATGCTACAGTTTCAAATTAATAAAAATGGTAGTGTGAGCTGGGATTAATGCATAATCGGGACACTTTAAAAGATTCAGAAACCTAGAGAAAATATGAAAGTATTATGAAACAGACCTGAGAAAAGCTGAAGCTCTCCTCTTTGTAGCATTAAAGTCGCCATGAGAATGAGTTGTGGAGCACTTTCAGTAAATGTCTCAAATAGACCAAGCAACTGAAAGTCAAGGTTCAGGAACGTACTCTCTTTGAAAATTCTTCTTTGCTGAAGAAAAAGTTTTGTGGACATTTCAATCACTCCAGCATATCTGTGAAAAATAAAATCTTGGGTTAACTTCAGGAACATTTAAAAACAATTCAAATTTTTAACCAGCAGTGAGGTCGTTTTCACACCAGTTCCCCTTCGGGGGGAACTTCAGCACTATAAGTGGATTTGATTGTAAAATCCACGCATTGGGAGGTTCGGTTCAGAAGCTACTCGTCTGAAAGAGTATTGAACGGGCCAATTAAGAATGAATTGGCAGCGCAAGCCTGCGCAGGTGAGCGGCATAAGCAATCAACTGAGTATATAAGCTCACCTGGCGCCAGCAGACGCTATCCTTTTCGCTTCAGAGACTTTCTGATCGAGTCGATGAGGGTTCCTCCTGCTGTGACCAGCGATTCTGAGCGAACGAGAGCATTCTCCCGGTCCAGAGTGTGTACACGCAGTGGCAGACGGTCGAGCTGTGTTTCTCCCTTGCCTGGCGTTCTTTGGGTCCGGTCCTCCAGAGCGGTGCGTATAAAGTTGCAAACTTCACAGAAAGAGCAACACAGTCGTGCAGCACGTCCTTATCAGGACGGCGCTCCGACTGTGCGTTTCTGGATGCGGTGGTTTCCTGTCCTCGGATGATGGGCGCGGGCACTGTGTTACATGTCTGGGGGTCCAGCATGTTAATGCGCTGCTCGCGGGCAGTTCATGTCGTCATTGCGATGCCATGACTGTTGCGCAAGATCGCGGTTAGCCTTTGCAAAAGGGCGAACCACCCCAGTTGTCCCCTGCTCTGCAGCGGGCACTCGGGCAGATCTGAGGGTTTCAGCGAGAGATAATCCGTCGCCCACGGGCCCGCGGACCTCCCGCTCCTCTAAGCGCTCCATCCAAGCTTCGGGCGGGGGAAGCGATCCGTCTAACAGATGGTAGCCCTTACGCCCGATGACACCGGAGACCAGATGTCCACCGCGGCATTGGAGGGTGGGCTTTCATTGTCCGATGATCCAGACCCGCTCGCCCCCTTCGGGCTGGTGAGCGCTGTCACTACGGATCCTGAAACGGACATGTTAGCCGTGCTTTCCCGGGCTGCTTCGGCCGTGGGTTGGAGATGGTTTATCCCCCAGCTCCGCGGCCGGACCGACTAGAGGGGCGTTCCCTTCTTCCCGGAGGTGCACAGTAGGCTCACGCGGTCTTGTAAAGCACTTTTTTCTGCTTGTGCTGCGTGTTCCTCCACCCTAACCACTCTTGACGGTGAAACAGCCAGGGGGTATGTGGCGATTCCTCAGGTTGAGTGCGCGATGGCGGTAAATCCGCGCGGCGCCTCTTCTTGGCGGGTTCGCCTCGTCTCCCATCCAAAGCCTGTAAGTTATCTACCTCCCTCGGAGCTAGAGCTTACATAGCTGCGGGCCAGGCTGCTTCCGCCTTGCATGCGATAGCCACCTACCAGCGCTACCAAGCGCAGGCGCTGGCCGAGCTGCACGAGGGTGGGTCCAACCCAGGCTTACGAGCTTCGCACCGCCGCCGACTTAGCTCTTCGGACTACTGAGTCCGCTGCGTGTGCGTTGGGGAGGACGATGTCCACATTAGTGGTCCAGGAGCGCCACCCCTGGCTGATATGCGCAAAGTCGACAAAGTCCGCTTTCTTGACTTCCCCATATCCCCAGCCAGGTTCGGCGACACTGTCTGTGAATTCACCCAGGAATTCAAGGCGGTGAGAGAGCAGTTGGTGGGTGATGTCTTATCGGCGGTCCGTAGCCCGCTCCGCCCGCCGTGCCATTCATACCTGCTCCTCGCCGAAGGCGCCCGCCTACGAGAGCTGCTCCGCCCCCGCACACGTCTCAGGCGAAGCGAGCGCGTCGGACACCTCGGAAGCAGGCAGCCCCCCTGCCCAGAACGCCGCTAAGTCCGGCAACGGACCGCGAAGCGCCCCTGGGACAGGCCATCTGGAGAAGAGGGAACTTGCTCTTTCCCCGCTGGAGGGCGGGGCCCCATTTCCAACGGCACTTTTTACTGCCATGAAAACATTATGAAAGGGCACTTTTCACTTCCCCAGATGTGACAGCCCGAAATCTGCCAGTCTGGGACGCTATGCTTTCTAGCTTGCAGATTCGGTGCGTTTCGCCAGTGGCTCACGAGCGCTGGGAGGACGGTCTCCTTTCTCCCACCCCTCGAGCCTCCCCTCCGGAGCTCGGGTTTGGAGTGAGAGCAAATATCTCACCTCCAGCTTTTCCGTGGGACCCGCGAGCTTCCCGGATCAGCACACTCACTCCGCGCTGCCCCACTGCTGGTACGTCAGCGATTGTAGCGATGAGTCCATTAGCGAGAGCTCTGCCTGCCTGGTTAGCGCGGGCCAGCTCTTCGCGGTGGCTCATACGCACAATCAGACTCGGCTATGCGATTCAGTTCGCGAAACGGCCCCCCAAGTCACGGGTGTGTATTCACCAGGGTCAGCCCCCTGTCCGCCCCTGTCTTGCGAGAGGAGATTGCTGTCCTCCTGGCGAAGGATGCAATCGAGCCGCTCCCTCCAGCCGAGATGGAGAGCGGGTTTTACAGCCCACGCTTCATCGTGCCCAAAAAGAGCGGTGGGTCACGGCCAATCCTAGATCTGCGCGTTTTGAACCGCTGCCTGCACAAGCTGCCGTTCAGAATGCTCACGCAGAAGCGCATCCTCCGGTGCGTTCGTCCTCTGGGTTGGTCTGCAGCATTAGACCTGATGGACGCGTATTTCCATGTCTCCACTCTTCCTCGCCGACGACAGTTTCTGCGGTTTGCGTTTGAAGGTCGAGCTTGGCAATACAAAGCCCTCCCCTTCGGGCTCTCTCTGTCTCCGCGGGTCCTCACCAAGCCCGTGGAGGGTGCCTCAGCGCCCCTTCGGCTCGCGGGCATCTGCATACTCAATTTCTTTACGACTGGCTGAATTTGCCCTCTCTTTTGATTATGCACAGAGTTGATTATGCACAGAGACAAAGTGCTCTGGCACTTCCACCTGTGGGGGTTTCAGGTCAACCGAGAAAAGAGCAAACTCGCCCCCGTGCAGAGGATCTCTTCTCTCGGGCTGGAGCTGGACTCGGTCACCATGGCAGCGCGCCTCTCCGGAGAGCGCGCTCAGCTGATGCTGTACTGTCTGAGAGAGCTCGACAGTAAAATAGTGGTCCCACTGAAACTATTTCAGAGGCTCCTGGGGCATATGGCATCCGCAGCCGCTTCATGCCGCTCGGATTATTCTATATGAGACCACTTCAGCACTGGCTTCACGATCGAGTCCCCAGACGCGCATGGCACGCGCGCGCACACCGAGTCTCTGTTACTGCGCTGTGTCGCCGCGCCCTCAGCCCTTGGAGCAACCCCTCGTTCCTACAGGCCTGGGTGTCTCTAGAACAGGCGTCCAGTCTTGTTGTCGTTTCAGCAGACGCTTCCAACACGGGCTGGGGGGCTGTGCGTTGCGGGCATGCGGCTGCGGACCTGTGGAAAGGTAACCAGTTGCATTGGCATATCGCCTGGAGCTGTTGGCAGTGTTCCTCGCTCTCCACCGTTTTTTTCCGGTGTTGGAGCGGCAACACGTGCTGGTCAGGACGGACAGTACGGCGGCGGTGGCGTATATCAGCCGAATAGGGGGTATGCGCTCTCGCCGCATGTCTCAGCTCGCCCGCCGTCTGCTCCTCTGGAGTCATCCGCGGCTGAAATCGCTGCACGCCATTCATATTCAGGCAAGCTCAACCGTGCAGCCGATGCGCTCACACGGCAGCCTTGCGTCCTGGAGAATGGAGACTCCACCCCGAGTCTGTTCAGCTGATATGGACGCGATTCGGGGAAGCCCAGATCGATCTGTTGCTTCCCCCGAGATCGCTCATTGCCAGTTGTTCTTTCCCTGACCGAGTGCTCTCGGCACGGATGCACTGGCTTACAGCTGGCCTCGGGGCACGCGCAATACGCGTTTCCCCCAGTGAGCCTGCTCGCGCAGTTACTGTGCATGGTCAGGGAGGACGAGGAACAGGTTGCTGGTTGCGCCCCTCTGGCTCAACCGGACCTGGATGTCAGAGCTCTCCCTCGCGATAGCCCTCCCCTGGCAGTCCCTTCGAGAGAGCACCTACTCTCTCAGGGACAGGGCACCACCTGGCACCCTCGCCGATCTTTGGAGATTTTTAGACGCGAGGAAGACTTAGGTAACCTCCGATTGCGGTGGCTAATACCGTCACTCGGGCTAGAGCCCCCTCCCCGAGCGCGCCTATGCCCTGACGTGAAGTCTATTCACTGAATGGTGTGTCTCTCGCTGAGAAGACCCCCGTAATTTGCCAGATCAGCGTTGTGCTTTCTTTACGCCGAGAGAAGTTGGAGAGCAGGCTGTCGCCCTCCACACTCAAGGTTACGTGGCTGCCATCTCCGCTCTCATAACGCGGTGGCTGGCAGCACCGTGGGAACGCATAACCTCATCATCCGGTTCCTCAGGGGCGTTAAGCGAATTAATCCACCCCGCCCCCTCTCATGCCCTCTTAGGATCTCGCCCTCGCTACACAAGCCGCGTCAGATCCCTTCGATCCTCGACTCAGTATATTTCTGTCCCTGAAGACAGCTCTGCTGGTCGCGTTGATATCGATTAGAGGGTCGGGGACCCGGAGGCATTTTTCGGTCAGTGACTCGTGCCTGTAATTGGGCTGGCTTCTCTCACGTCCTGAGACCCCGCCCGCGATATGTGCCCAAGGTTCCTACCACTCCGTTTTATTACGAGGTAGTGAGCCTGCAAGCGCTGCCCTCGGAGGAGGCAGACCCAGCCCTTATTTATTGTCCAGTTCGCGTTTTGCGTATTATCCGGACCGCACTCAGAGTTTAGATCATCTGAGCAGCTCTTCGTCTGTTATAGCGGTCGGCAGCAGGGAAGTGCCGTACCGAAATAAGTTCCCACTAGATTGTGGATGCCTTTCTTTCACTATCAGAGCCGAGATGAGCCGCGTCCCCCGAGAGCGCGTGCGCACTCCACTCGGAGCTTCGCATCCTCTCGAGCGCGCGCACGCGGCGCCCCTCTAACAGACATCTGTAGAGCTGCGGGCTGGGTGACACCCAACA